CCCACTAGTTCACTAGTAAGATCATTTTGACGCTTACTAGTTGACATGTAACCCACAAAACGCCCACTAGTTCACTAGTAAGATCATTTTGACGCTTACTAGTTGACATGTAACCCACAAAACGCCCACTAGTTCACTAGTAAGATCATTTTGAAGCTTACTAGTTGACATGTAAGCCACAAAACCCCCACTAGTTCACTAGTAAGATCATTTTGACGCTTACTAGTTGACATGTAACCCACAAAACGCCCACTAGTTCACTAGTAAGATCATTTTGTGTCACGTAGCGAGGTGGTGGTGGACCCCAAAAAAGCAGGCAGGAGGGAGGAGCAGGGTGTACTTGAAAGATTGTATTAAAACTCAGAAAACTAAATCCAAAACAAACAAAGTCCAAAGTATCAAACAAAACACATGACCGAAGATAAAACATAATGACCAAAACCTGACTGAAACAAACATGACAGCAGCCAGCAAAAAGCAACAAACAAACATGACAGTAGCAAAGAGCAACAATGACCCGTCAATGATTGCTCGGGCTGGGAGTCCTTTTAAAGCCACTAATTATCTAATGACCAACAGGTGTGCAGCTGCAGGGGAGCCCTACAGTGCCACCTGTTGGTCCCAAACCAAATCATGACATTTTGAAGCTTACTAGTTGACATGTAAGCCACAAAACGCCCACTAGTTCACTAGTAAGATCATTTTGACGCTTACTAGTTGACATGTATGCCCCAAAACGCCCACTAGTTCACTAGTAAGATCATTTTGAAGCTTACTAGTGAACATGTAAGCCACAAAACGCCCACTAGTTCACTAGTAAGATCATTTTGAAGCTTACTAGTTAACATGTATGCCACGCAACGTCCACTCGTTCACTAGTGAGCTCATTTTGAAGCTTACAAGTTGACATGTAAGGCCATAAATGTGCCCACTTGTAGCGCTAGTGACATTACACCGTACTTGCATTACATGCAAATAAGGATGATTACGAAAACATGCAACGGTATCCTATTGGCTGTCCGTTTCAAAATAGTATAATCCAACCAGTCAGGGCTCATGATTTTGGAAATTCTGGGCCCACTTAAATTTTTTAGAACAACCATGGCGGACAGCGTCCTGAGACGTATTCGGCGAAGGTGCAGGGCAATAGAGAGTGCCTGTCGTCAAGGGTCTGCCGGTGAAAGTGAAGCACGCGCGATAAACATTTCAATTGCTAATTTAAGAAGAGTTAGTGACCAGTTTAGTGCTGATGCTCTTCAAAATTTGATTCAAAGTCTAACAGATATCCGATCTGTCATCATTGCGGGACCCGCTCCTAATCGTGGACGTGTTTGTTCCCATGTGGTACATCGTTTGCAGACCGGTAAAATGGCTACAATTTTTTCTCATTGCTTTTTTTTTTTATGTATTTTTCTTCGTACTACACGCGGGTTTTACTGACGACCTACGGTGACTTACCTTCAATCACCCTGTCAAACATCGTTTTATACCAGTAGTTTTCCTGCAGCTCAGTAGACTATTAAGTAACACTATGGCTATACACTTTTAAGCAG